CTAAAAAATTCCTAAATTTCCTTCGCCTAGCATGGTCATGACTCGTGAGTATTTGAAATAAGTAACTGATGAATTAAGTTGAATCTGATTTTTTAAACATGTGGCAGCCCCCCTATATATACTTCAGAATTAAAGCCTTTTCAAACCCATTTCGACTGATAACCATATTGTATTAATTTTAATTTCACTTTTTAAACGGGTGGCAACCTTCTCCAAACACCTCAAAAATATTTCTACTAAAGATTTAACAACAATTTTTCGCTTTTCACCCGTACCACAAATAGTTTTCGTATAAGTTAATTAAATTTTACTTTTTAAACAGGTGGCAACTCTATAAAAACGTAGTTTAAAGCTGTAACCTTCTTCAATTACACTCGCCTGACATTGTGGTACATATTTTAATTAACTGAAGATTTAAATTGAATTTGATTTTTTAAACATGTGGCAACCCTCTAAATATAGTTCAGAATTAAAGCCTTGTCAAACGCATTTCGATTGGTGCTAATTCTTTAATAATTTATTTAGCTTATTAAATAATTTGAATTTAACTTTTTAAACAGGTGGCCTCTCTGTTTAAACATCTCTAAATATTGTTAAGTGTTCAAACTAAAGATTTCTTAAGACTCTTTTGTTTGACAAATTTTAATATATCGTTGCGTATAAGTTAACTGAATTAGATTTATGAAACAGGTGGCAACCCTCTTCAAAATATTAACAAACTATTACCTTCTTAATATCGTTTCGTCTAGCGCCCACATGGTGATACATATGTTTGTCCATTACCTAATTCCCTTAATTTAAAGTTAATTTAATATTCAAAACAGGTGGCATCCCTCCTACAGTAAATTTAAGAAAGAAAGCTTTTTAAACCCATTTCCATTGATACGCATTTTATATTACTTGGTTTAAGTTCTTAAAAAATTTCAACACATTTTTTTAAAAGGTGGCAACTGTTTTCGAAAAAGTAAAACCACATTGCACATCTATAAATGCCGCGTCCTTAATTTGACACCTCACTTTTGAAAATCGAACGAACGGTGCAGATCTTATATCCTGGACAAAAAATGCCTTCGTGTATTATAGAAAGGGAAACCGAAATTCTGTTTTTTTCTTTGGTGGTAATAAACTGGTATGCCTAACGCTCGTATATTTTTTCGCACAAAAAAACTCTATATAGGTACTACTGCGAAAAAAATCCGTTTTGCATTATCTTCATTTAAAAAGAAAAAAAGCATTTTTACAGTACAGTATCTATTCTTTGTAACAGTTTTTCAATAAAATAAAGGAATTCCTGGTAATGTATTCCGTTAACTGATTTATTTTAAAGTATAGTTACATAAATCATTAGTTAAACTTAATTACAGAAAATTCCATGGAAATTTCTGTAATTATGTAATGTTGTAATGATTCAACTATACTTTAAAATAGAGAAGTTAACGGCCCTATGTGTACCTGTTGTACACCCCGCGACAAAATTATTCGTCTAAAAAGAGCGATGTAACTCCAAATTTTTAACTTTGTATAAAAATGAGAAGAATTCAGCAAAGGTGCCTACGAATATTTTCAAGTTTGAAGTGTTAATAAATTAGTAAAAATATTCCAAAGTAGTAGTAGTAGAACAGCTGATTTGATTTTTTCTAACTGTCAAAATTGTCTCTAAACTGTCAAATATAGTTAATTTTTTTGAAAATAATTCTCCATTGGGAAAAGGTATTGCTTTAAAAAGGCAATTGAAAATCAGCCTTTGGAACGTTTGTTTAACTCAAAAGGATGTATTGATTGATGCTTCCGGACTGAAACAAATTTACAAAGAAAGAAAGTCGCACCAATTTCAAATTTTGTTTATTCAAAATTTTGTTTATATATTTCACATCACCCACTATCATGATACAAAAAATAAGGTAATTTCAATAAACAACTTTTGACGGATAATAAAATTTTCTGAAGTTTCATAAATTGTGAGCATTATCAACGGCCTTGCCACTTTGATAATATTAAATCAATAAATCGGAGTATTTTCTTTCCCATATTTATACCAATGAATCTTGCGATTTAATAATCGAATTCTAAAGAATGTTCTTCGCAAATAAAACCTTTTTATATTTTGGTTCAAATTTACTTTTAAATGTCTCATCAGATTTTGCAAAAAAATTAGCCTGTGATTAGCGCAACATCATTAAATTTCACAAATTTTTAATTTATGCAAAACACCTGAAATCGGCTTGAACAGACCGCCCTCCGATAAACAACTAATAGATCGTCGTTTAAAGTACAAAACTGTGTATCAACAAAATGCACAGCTGCGTATGTGATGTTGGATAAATTATTTTGTAGAGAGTAAAAACACTCATATTTCAATACGCGGTTTAGTACTTTAAGCGACGATATGTAAGTATATACATACATAATTTCTTCATGCGTTCTGAAACCTAGTCGTAACCCCATTTTCAAAATCATGTAGCCGGCATTATTTAAAAAAAAATATTTCTTCTAGTGATCAGGTAGCATGAATTTGATGAAATGTCATAATTTTATTAAAAGTCAAATGGTTTACAACAACAACGAATGTCATTAAATGAAACTACCTTCTTTTTTGTATCAGGCCCACTATGATATTTAAAAAAATATACTATTTTTTGACACCTTAGTTACCAGAGGCAACAACAAAATACACGTAAATATTGTTTTTGCTCTAATGCTACTACCTGTTCGATATGCCTTGGCACATTCCAAGTCGAATTTATATAAGGTGGTGTTACTAGATCAGCTGATTTTGTGTATGTGTTTCGCCTCACGGCTTCTTATGTCAAATTGAAAAATGTTGTTTGAATTTCCACACACACTCTTACAGATTTTGACAGTTTATGCCGCCAAAGCAAAAACAAAATACATGTAAGTTTTTGTTATTGTACTCCTGCTATCACCTTATATAAATTCGCCTTGGCACATTCATATGAATTCAGGTTTACAGAGGTTTTCGAGGACGCTAAATTTTAAGCCGAACTCAAAATAATCTAATCTATGTCTAAATCTTAAGAACAATATTTTATGTAAAAAATAATAATAAGAATGATTTGAATTTCAGTTTCTTACGTTTGTATTTAAAATTCTTAAATAAAAAATACTATCGAATAGAATCATGTTTACATGTGTCTTATACGAAATTGTGCGAAAAAAATGTATTTAAAAAAATCATCCTCAGAAAAACTTTCAATAGCATTTGGGTGCAAAATCGAGTCAACAAAATTTCGTAAACGGTCGGATTCAATATTTAGTTTTATAATTTGAAATATAATTATCTTGAAAGAAACATATATTTTTTATTCGTAAAACATGGTGACATGGTGGACTTATACCATCGAAAATTTTCTTGTATAGAATAGAATAAAAATTATCAAAAATCAATGCGATTTTTTAGCAAACTACTAGAATTCAATGCGCTGTAAAACAGCGTACTCGAAAAATTTTATTAAAAAGTTCACAGTTTCAGCAGAATTCCAAACCAAATTTTAAATGAAAACTAGGTATTTATTAAAAACATCTACCGGCCATAATTCGGCGAGTAAGTAGATACTGTATATCGTCACCTGAGTGGAAGATCGACCTATCTTGGCAGCCAGTTCGAAAACGCCCTATCTCAGAAAACTTTTCAAGAACGCCCTACTTCAGAATTTTGTTGAAAATACATTGAAAATGTGCTGAGATAAACGTTTTTGAATCGTTAGCTGACATAGGGCGTTTTGAGCCGAATTCTGAAATAGGGCGTTCTTAAAAAGTTTTCTGAGATAAGCCGAAAATAGGTCGATCTTCCACTCAGGTATCGATATAGAACTCACCTGTAGAATAAAACCCCATTTTACAAAGTTAGAATCGATCGTTTATTTTTGAATTTAGTTGGCTTTTTAAATTTTTATTTGTAAGTTTAACAAGTGGATTTATACGGTGTTATGTAGTATATAATTAACTACACTTTAGCAACAAAATAGTCGTGACTTGATTAGTTCAACGTATGTATGTCTCGCCTCACCAGTTCATCAGCCTTGCTAGTTTCTTGCAGAGATCGAAAATAACCCTCGCCACTTATCTTTTATTGTGTTTCTCACGGACACAAACACAAATCTCACTAGCACAGAGTGTTAATCGCGTGCCAATGATCTTTTTGTGCTTTCTGCTGTGGGTTATTTATCAATTGCTTAAATTTACCTTCGCCAAAAAACCCTTTGGCTCTCTGGTTTCTTGCAATAGCACTGTGGTATAGTAATCAAATAAGCTGTACAGCAGAAGGAGCTCAGGCATTCTCCAACCAGTTTTGAGTAAATCAGCAATTAACTTAATGCTTTTATCACCGCTTAATTATCAGAATAAATACGCAATTGTTTTAAGAAGTATATCGGAAGTAAGCAAGCAATTAGCCTTAGTTTAAGATTGGTGGAAAGACACTTGAGCTATTTTTGAAAAGATTCGCCGACCGTGGGTGCAGCACAACGTCTAGGGCCTAGAGGTTATGCACACTTTTAAAAATATCGGCCTTGAGTCAAAGTTAAAGCAGTGGTAGCTTCAATTGTTATGCCCAGGAATACCATGTTAAGCAGGTCGAAAAATGCCACAGTAGAGTGAAGACGTGCCTCTCTGATAACGATCGAAGCAGAATTTTCTATTTTTCTCCAGCTACTAGTCTTCTCTAGTGACGTTTACTAGATTTGTAACGTTTTCATAAGCCCAATAAACTACATACCCAATTTAAGTGTTAGACATAACTGCACAACTAGCTTTTCAGGCTTTCCGCGCTTTTCAGGCTTTCAGTTACACAATTCAGCTATTGATGAAAGCCTGAATAGCGCCGAACGTCCGCAAAGCTTGTTGTGGAGTTGTACTCTAAAGGCGACACCTCTAAAAAAATATATTACTAGAATGAAAGAATTTTTCCAGTTTCTCTGTTTTACTTTTTTCTTAAATGAGCATTTTTTTTTATAATATTGAATTAATATTTTTTTTTCTATTTTCAGGACATTCGTGATCGTTGCGATCGTGAAGCTAGTGAAAAGCAATTTGGCACTGCTGAATCGGAGAAACCACAAAATCGGTGTTTAAACAGATACAGAGACGTAAATCCCTACGATCATTCGCGCATTATCATCCATAGAGGCAGTGTAGACTATATAAATGCTAATCTTGTTAAGGTAAGCAGGTCAAATGCGAGAAGATAGAATATAACACACATATTATTATTTTTTTTTAATTTTCTGCACAGCTCGAACGTGCCGAACGTAAATATATTCTAACACAAGGTCCGCTAGTCGACACCGTTGGCCACTTTTGGCTGATGGTATGGGAACAAAATACTAAAGCCATTCTTATGCTGAACAAATTGATGGAGAAAAAGCAGGTCAAATGTCATCACTATTGGCCGGATAGAAAGGGCCCTGAAAATGCATTAAGATTAAATGAAGTTAACTTGACTGTTGAATTTTTACGTTGTGAAGAGTATCAGAACTTCTGCCGCAGATGGTTCAAGTAAGTTCAGTTAATTTCAGCTTTGTTGCACTTATTAAAAATTCTCAATTATTCTCATATTAGGCTAACAGATCTTGAATCGAAGACAAGCCGCGAGATATTACAATTCCACTATACAACATGGCCGGACTTTGGTATTCCCAGTTCACCAGTTGCGTTTTTACAATTTTTAAAACAGGTGCGCGACTCTGGTGCACTCGATGCGGATGTGGGGCCCGCAGTGGTACACTGTAGCGCTGGAATTGGGCGCTCTGGCACTTTTTGTTTAGTTGACTGCTGTCTAGTTTTGGTTGGTGATGAAAGTTGTTTCATAGTTGTGTTATAAGTTTATTAAATTTTTTTCTTTCGTGAATTATAGATTGAAAAGGAAGGCGAGAGCAAAGTTTCTGTACAGGATGTGCTCTATGAATTGCGCAGGTATCGCATGGGCCTAATACAGACTGCAGATCAATTATATTTCTCATATCAGGCAGTTATAGAGGGAATCAAATTGCTTAAGGATCCAGTAAGGAATTTCTCATATTTAACATTTATTTATGTACATATAAATAGTCGTATACAAAATGTAATACCTTCATTTGTTTAAAGGAATTTCTGAATTACAAGGAGGAGCCAATCAATAGCAGTGACAATGAGCACCACGATCAGTATGGCACAATTGGTGGGGATGTGCCACCACCTCTGCCTCCACGTACACATTCCCTAGCACTGCCAATGGCCGGCTGCAGCGCTGCCGGTGCACTAACGTTGAATTTACATGGCAAACCATTACCAAAAATACCGGCAAGCGCAAGTTTCAACGACGAACTATACGCCATGACCGACAATGCACAACATGCCAGCAAGGATGCGTTGAATAATTTCATAAACAACGAAAAAACTGCTGAAAACATGTCCAACAGACCGCTACCACCACTACCACCACAGCCGCAACGCTCGCAATCCTCGCTTGAACGCGTACATGAATCAGACAGCGATGAAAATGAGTTCTACGAAGACGATAATAGTGACGATGACGATAGTGATGATGAAGGACTTTATAACTATGACAATTTGGACGATAAGAACGCCAACGCCGTTAATAAGCGGAGTATAAGTAGTGAACGTGGTAGCGGCAGTGATGGTGGCGGCGGCGGTGGTAATGAGTTGTCAACGGAAATTAAGCAAAATGGCACTGATGGCTCCAATAGCAATCCGCTCGTGATCGGGTACGTTAACATATATACACATACGTATTTTTAAATGTGTAAAATATTAAAATTTTGCATCGTTTGTTTCATTTCATTTATAGCAGTCCCGAAAATGAGTTAAAACGGCGGAAACGTGTCGAACGACAGGCCAACATCGAACAGAAAGTTAACGAGATCAAGCGAAAACAGCGCGAAACGGAGGAAAGCAAGCATGCGGCGAAGAAACGAAGGTCATTAATTACCTATATTGCGGCGGGTGTTGTTGTGGGTGTGATTTGTGTGTATGCATATTCGAAGCTAGCCTAAGGCCAAACAAGTTTAAACAAATAAGGAATGGTAAATACATATGTACGTTTGATCGACATTAAAAATGTCCCTATCCCTGCCCTTCACAGCATCAATTGATAGTTAACTTTTGTGTCGCGCGCACATGCACTAAAGCGCTTCATATATATACATACATAAATACATATACATAATATATAGTACATATGTATACAATAACGCTCTCGCCAATAGCATTAGTAAGTAATGCGTTACATTTAATTCATTAGAACATCTAATTAGTAAATGAAGTGAAGCTAAAATTAAATACAGAGTAATAATTTTGCATGTAATTGAAAAGCATTTAACACGCAAGTGTTTATGTATAAATTATGTAACTACAAATACAAATGTAGTTTTGCAGTAGACGAGTAAGTTTTAAAATTTCGAACAATTTTTTAAAAGTCAACTAAACAAGCTAACGAAGTTTCCATACAAAAGATAGGTAATTCCAGAGAGATTGGCAAATGCTTTTTGAGTCAATGCATATATAGTATAATTTTCGATCGACTTCAAAAGGGGTGGGACTATATTTTTGATTGTATTCGCAGCTCGCGCAGGAAAACACACCCCATGCATATGAAAAACACACATACATGCATTGATTGTATATTTATAGCTATAGAGTACCACTTATAAGACTCATGCCAAGTTCTTTTTTTTATATTATTGCTATCTGACTCTAGATGCATTCATATAAATAGGAACAAACTTCTGAAATAAACTATTAACTATTTTAAGTTTAACTTTACTACGTTGCGGCAAATACTATGCATACAATAATTTAATTAAAATCGAGTAGTAAATATAAATTATTTCTTTTTGTGTACTAAAATCCAAACGTATCGCTCAATTATTAGAAGACTGTCACAACTCAAAAAGCAGGATTCTTGAGATAATGATACAAAATTAATGATTATATCATGGTTCATTTTGTTGTAACATCTTCATGCCAAAATCTTTTGTAGTTTCTGCGTGAAAGGAGAGTTTCTGCAACTCAATTGAAAACTTAGCGCGCCTCTCCTGCAAAAACGTGCATTTTGCGTTGTGACAGCCTTTTGACAAATGACAAAATGTACATATTTACTAACAATCCTTTATCAAGCGCGGCTTCACTTGCTCAGATCGCCTCATTCGGAGAACTACATTATGATTGAAAAGTGAAATAGATATATATGTATTTCAAACGAAACCTAAACGATAGGAAAATATAAAACAAAATTAGTGGCAGAATGCAAATGTATTGAACTGTAATAGACTGAGAATGTAGGAGAAAGGGAAATCGAAAATAATCTAAAACCAACGACTTCTTTGTGAACATTTACAAATCATGGCAAGTAAAATAAATTATATATTATATCTGCATTCAAAAGATAAAGTAAAGAACTGCGTTTTCCATACTTCTGATAAAATCATATTTTGTAACTTCGGAATAGCACTCACAAATAAAACATCAGAGTGTTAACAGATGTGGATATTTAAATCAAAAATTGCTATAATTTTAGCCTTAGTCGCTGGCCCAGAAAAAAGTTTTAAAATTTCCTTGGATTTTCACTGTTTGTTTTGAATTAATATTATTTAATTCAGGAAGTTGTTATAAAGCGCTACTCTCAACTGAACGGAAGTTATTGCATCTTTGTTCCGTTTGTTGTTGTTGTAGCAGCATACAAATTCCCCAAAGAGTTTTTGGGGAGTGTTGCTGGAGTGACAGTCCTTGGCCAAATATAAATCTGGGTCTTTCCGGTTACGTAGACCCGACTGTCGGTTGCGGTGAAAAGCAAAAGCAAGTAAACTGAAGCGTAATATTTCAAATTTTTTGGATGCTGAAATTTGCAATTCGCACAAATACTACCGTGTTCACAGTGGTACAGTCGCGCAGTCAACGATACTTGTTAGTGTTATAGCCCAGTTGTGCCCGCTCACCGAGCTGACTTAACACAAGTAATTTTTAAGCAAAAACACAACACTGACTTCAATTCTCATATAAAAATTTAAGATTATCGTTAATTTCTTCATGATCCAGTGATCGGATTTAAACCAAATTAGTATGGGTCCACCTGTGAGTTAGCACCTCACCTCAAGAAGTATTGAAATCGGTTAACGTGGTCCAAAGTTATGCGGTAACATACATAAAAAATAATATAAAATATTCCGACGAATTGATAACCTTCTCCTTTTTGTGAAGTCGGTTAAAAATTACCTTAATTCATGTAGTAAACTCAAAAAAATTCTCATTGACTAATAACCAGGGGTCGGATTTCGATAACCTAAAAACTAGCAAAAAATTACCTTCAAGAAATTACAAAATGCTCTAGACAATCCTTTAACATTACCTAAAAATTTAGTCGGCTGCAATGCAACCTCAGTTGCTATAAAGTTGAAGATAATATAATTTTTTTAGTACCAGCAACTTAGACTTGAGTGCAAATAAGCTGAAGAAACAGTTGAAAAAGAAATAAATTATTTCAATAAAAATATCCGCGGCAACCATAAAAATGCAGTTGCCATTCAGCCGCTGGAACCACAACTAAAGTTCGGTTGCCATCCCTAATCTACATATTTTATTAATATCCCTCACTTTAATTTGAACGTATTTTTGAATAGGGTTCCCACCAAATACAGATATAGTACGCGGTTGCTTTTCCTTGAAGGTCATCAGATCTGAAATGTCAAATTAAAGAGCTTGGCCTATAGATTTGCAATAAGAATTTATTGTTTGATCTGAGAACTTTTTTAGTGGGAAAGGGTGATCTAAAATCTGATGAAATGAAAAACCGACACCATGCGGTACGTCTTTTCATTCAGAAACGGCTGGACGGGTTTAGATGAAGTTAGGCATACGGATTGCTTATAACTCTAACTACCGTATAGAATATTTTTATAATGCCACCTATTTAAAAACTGAAATTTCGGCGTTTTCATTTAGCTCTCGATTAGCGGAATATTAAAGACTACAATCAAAACAGCATACTGCTTGGTGTAGGGCCGTGAGGGGGTTCACTATGCGCTGCTAACGCGCTGCGTTAACACACATTTAAAAACTTAAAAAAAGTGTTGATTAGGGCCGGTGTCTAATGAATAACATTATTTGACTGCTTTTTCTACAGAATAAAGGCTTTTAACTGGCGGATAGCTATTCCAGTGCATTTATAGAAAAGTGGCAACATGAATCTGGATTTTTAGGATACCATCAATCAGAGAAGCTTATGTTTAATCTCATTTCGATTACTGATAAATCTGAAGAAAATTAGCGAAAAGAACAAGGGGCCTTTTAACGGGTGATTTTTTAAGAGCTTGATACCTTTTTTTTTAAAAA